CCCCCCCCCCCCCCCGCCCCCCGCTCTCGCCACACTTGGCCATTCGTTCACTGAATCATACCATCCCGCCTGGTCTCGCAACGCTTGGCTTTGTATTTTTGCTGATTCGTGTATCGCGCGTGATGCTCAGGAGGAGTTGCTGTCGAAGGTGAGTAAGGCCAGGAGGCACAACGCCTTCAATACCGACTCCGCGGCGAGACACTGCAACCCCCCCTTCGGATTGGACCTGGCACACGAGGTAGGTGCTACAATACAGCAGGAGAGCAGCGTCCTTTGCGCGGACCCTTTGCCCCACGCGACTGGACTCTTGTTGAGCCACAACCGAACGTGGTCGGAGTGGACCTGGCAAGTTGAGTCACCACACTACGTCTTTTGCGCGTACACTTTGCCCCGCGCGACTTGACCCTTGTTGAGCCACTAGCGCGCGTGGTTGGCTTGGACCTAGCGCACGATACAGATAAACTCCGTACGGCTTGGCGTTGCGCCGGCCCTTGTCTCCGCGTGACTTATGACTTGGCTCCTGCACCACTGCCGAAAGCGGTAGGCTTGAACCTGGCGCACCGTACGCCGACCCTGTTGCCTGTGTGCTGACTATTGGGCCACTACCCCGATGGAAGTGGTTGGCGAGCTCCCTCCATGAAGATTGCGTTTTTTGTTGTCGACACGCTTTCGCAGGGCGTTTTACTGCCATCGAGTACTACGATGTGCGATAGGGGATGTTTTTTTTTGTCCCCATCACCATTGATGGATGTGTGTGAATCCGAGAATCGCGCGGAAGTTTGGTGCATCGATGCAAGCTGGTTATCGCATGTGACGGCGTACTTGAAAACGCCCTCGGGCCGATTGCGGAAATGCTCAGTTGCTCCGCCTCCCGACTGGAGGGTGGGTGCCCATGCCGAAAGTTTTGCCTAGTCGGAACTCTCTCCGGATGAGATGATGTGAGACATTTTCGTTTCCTCCCTATTCGGCATCGAGCCTCCCTCCTCCTGTCATCTGCTTCTCTGCCGACATCAGCACAGGGCCCGCTAGCCCAGTGTTCTAAGATAACTCAAAGTCGAATGTCATGCGTCAGTACGTAGCCCACTCGTCGTCCACCCCCCCCCCACAACGCCATCCCCCGCTTTTGCCTCTTCAGGCCTAACTCGTCCCTTTGCACTCATCAAGGATCTCTCTCTCCCCCTCACTACTCCATGCCTCCGTGTGAGCAGGTGCGAAAATCGGCCAACACGCTGAACAACATCCTAGAAAGGCGGCAGGGGTGCGACTGCGACGGGATGAACCTCATGCTCAGGCCCGAGCAGAGAATTTCGCAGTCGCTTTGTCGCGGTGCTGTCGGGCTCGTCTTCGTCACTATCGCTAAGGTTTGCTGTCGTTATTGTTGTTGTTGTTGTTGTTGTTGTTGTTGTTGGCGACGTGATCGCGTTCATTTTGGAGGGTTGGCTGTGTGCGATCGCTCCTGAGCTGAGCAAGCCCTCTAGGATCTAGGATTTAGGAAGGGTGCTGAATGTTATTTTTGGCACCCAGTCGTCGGCCGAAATCACCACCCCACCCGTGGTATTTTTTGTTTCCCCATGTCCTGCTCTGTTCTCGCGTTGTTCTGGTTGTATGTTTCACTGCATTGATTGAGTGTCGTACCCTCACGGGTGTGTCGCTACCTCCTGTTGATGCTGCTGCTGTTTCAGCAGTGCCACCATATTTGCGGATAACGCCGCGGGCCGAGCGTATCTGTATGCTACCATCACGCTAATCCTGTCCGGCTCTTCTTCGTGCCAAGTCCGACGATGAATGCCTTACCCCGCTCTAAATAGCTATCTGTACCACCACGCTCTCTGAGACCTGTCCGTCCCTTCCTTGAAACAAATTTCTCTCTCTGCCCTGCTCTGGCTTCTTTTCTCGCCGCGAAACGACGGAAAAACAAACCAGACGGGTTGTCGGCTCCACTCTCGCTACCTGTACCATCACGCTCACTCAGACCTGTCCGTCCCTTCCGTGCCACAATGGGCGCTCTCGGCGCTGCCCTTGCTTATTTTCTCGCCGCGAAACGACGGGAAACAAACTAGGCGGGTTTCCTGTACGCTGCGGAGGCGGGGACGGGTCTCTGCGTTGCCAGACTCCCGGATGGTAACTGGTCCGCGCCGGCGGCCGTGCAGATGTTTGGTCTCTCCTGGGGGTTGCAAGCCGGATGCGAGGTAACAGAAAGCAAAGTCGCGGATGTGATCTGCGGATGTATTGGCTTCTTGCGAGTATTTTGATTTGGAATTATGTTTTTTTTCGATTGTAGAGGAGGCCGCCGATTCGCAAAGTTTTTTTGTTTCTGGAGGGAGAGGAGGGCTATCATTGATTCATCCGACGAGAACACCGCATGAGACGCATGGCTTGATGGGGAGAACGATGCCCAACACCAACTTGTCCCAGCCTCCTCCAAATGAGCGTCATTTTTTCTCGTGCGATGTTCTGTTCACGCACAGCTCTTGATGGGAACCACGTTGACGTCGGGACGTGTTCCGCTTATCGTATTGTATCCGCGCTGTCGTGTGCGTGACGCTGCCGATTTCGAGTTCTGTGCTGTTGCACGTCTGCTCTGACTCTGCTGTTGCACTCGTAGCGTGCTTCCTGTGCTATCTGTCCCCCGCGTGTGCGTTGTTCTGCCCTTGTGCGGTTGTCCATCTTGCTCGCTTTCTCCATTTTCCCCGGCCTGCCCCCGGTGTTTGCCATCGGGGTTGGGTTTTCGTCGCTTGGCA